TGAGCCATTCTTCCACTTGTGAGGCACCCGTTTGTAACAGATTTAGTAGGCGTTGACTGTTTTGACTGTTGCCACTACTGTTAGGACTCGTATGCGATAACTTTTTCGGACTTCTAAACATCAAAATTTGTCATTTGAAAAATCATATAAAATGTATATTAATTTTACAATAGAAAACAATTCACTCACTTTTTATTATCTTTGGCTTTTTGGCCGTCCGTTTCCCAACTCTCGGCGCTTTCATATACACTAAAGTCCGAGTCGTAATCCATATCACTGTCGCCCCACAAGTCATCCGAATCCTAAATGTGTTGAAAAAATATTTTAATTAGCAATCAAATCAATAGTTAATAATCACACAATGCATACATAGTCTCCGACAACAAAGAGGTGTTGCGGACACACGAGAGACGTCTGCCCGTTGAGCCAAACACATAATAGCATTCCGTCTAACATAAGATCGAGCACTTGACCGGTTCGGGCGGAGGGCTCGCAGTTCTCCTCATTCAGTGATAATATCCTGACGACACAAATGCCGGGACGGAAGTTGAAGTCCGGGTGATCTTTGATGTCGTAAACACTGAGTTCTTGTTGAGCAACGAATTGAGGAGTGGGAGAGTCGGCCGTCACTGACAACCAGTTGACTATTGCGGTCCGCGACGTGTAGTCACACTTCTGGATCACTCCGTAGTCATAGGAGTGCGAAATGTCTTTGTTTTCGACCACAAAATCTCCGGGAAAGAAGTCGTGATTATCGATGTTATGGACCGGATATAGAGAAATGGACGGAACGTCTTCCTCGGTATTGGTATTCTGCCAAACGACAGACACCCGAGTGTTTGTGGCTATGATTTCTATAGGGAGTCGAGCGCCGGGAGTAGTGCTAATGGGAAGGGAGAGCGGAGTCTTCCGGTGCGAAGGCAACAGTTTCTTAGATTTAATTTTCCTCAACGACAGTGAAAATTGATTTTTCCTTTTCTTCGCTTTTTTAGTCTTAGAATTACTCGTCTCTAAGGAAGAGATGGAAAGGCTATCGCTGTCTGACTTAGTTATGAGAGGATTTTCATTCGACGCCACAGTGTTTTCGTTATCCGACTGACGGCTAATTTCATCGCTTGTTTTAATAGCACTTTCATTCTTCTCTTCGTTCAACCATTTCATCGATTCCTTTGCTTCCCATTCAGAAACGCTGACAATAGAGTCGTTCTCTTTGATGGTATAATAGCACTGATGGCCGATCTGTGCCGAACACTTCCTGAAGTGATTCACGCACTTCATCCGCGATATGGCTTCGCCTCTAATGATATCTCCCATCGGGTGATAAGTCGGACCACCGATCGGACTGTTCACTGACTTATCTTTGTTTGCATTCTTCAGGTTATTATTACCGGTCATTGAAGTATTCATTTGAGATTTATTACATAAATTATCGTCCGATAGACAGCACAACCAATTGACGGACACGTTATCGATGGCAATGTCTTCGACCGCGACATTGATCTTAGAGTTGCGGACGGACTGAGAGCTCATATAGCGTTTCATTTGTTTCGTTTGATGAGTCCATTGGGCGTTCTTGAGGTCACTTTTGGGACCAAACAGTTGTTGTCCGATATAGTAATCATCTCTACTAAACTCGGTGTCGTTGCTCTCGCGTTGTGTCAGCAGATCCTCGAAGTCGCTGATATCCACGTCATCGATGGTGAGCAGCGATCCGTCAACACATTTCAGTGTGAGCTTAAGATTCACTTCTTTCACGTAACCGACCCACGAGTCCAACAAACAGATGGTCTCTGCGCTTAAACTCAACAACATTTCCATATCATTCGTGTCCACGTTTTCGATCACTTTATCGGTCCCTAAGATCTTAATTGTGGTCAATATTCTGGTGGACCGACAGAAGCCGTGTTCCCCGTTTGGCACCAATTTATTAGTCAACGGATCCAAGCGTTGAACAATGTCTCCGTTCAGAAGCGACCGGTCGTAAAGTTTGGCCTAAATTTGTTGACAAAACCATTAAATCGATAAAAAAACAGACAATTGATGTCCAGAAAGACAAACCACACCTTAGACTCGTTGATCACTCGAGTGGCTCCGTTGGGATACAACGCGATGCGGGCGAAGCCGGGCTTCACTCGACGCCACTTATGGCCGTCGGATGAGTTGCGGTCAGCGGTGGAGCCACTGATGCGGCTGTCGTTGTCCTCGTCGTCGTCGGAA